ATAAATTTTTAAAAGTTTTAAAAGGCTCTTGAAAATCAATTTTTAGGAGCTTTGAAAGCTTCTTGGAATGGATTTTCGAAAGCTTTGAAGACTTATCGAAAATATATTTTTAAGAGCCTTTTAAAGCTCTTGAAAATAGATTTTCGAAAGCCTTAAACATGGGATGCAAGAAAGGTAAAATTCTAATTTACTAAAAGATAAAATTAATATCTTTTTATATGGATATTTTTGAAAGAAAATTATTGAGATGTAAAAAGAAGAATTGGTTGTGCATTTAAAACTCTCTCTTATAGTGTGTTTAGATTGAGGGAAAGGGAAAAAAATGAAAGGAAAATAAAAGAAAGCAAAGGAAACAAAAAAACCCTCCCCTTGTTTGGATAAACTTTTTAATTTTAAAAAAGGAAAAATAGATTTGGGCTTCCTTAGTAAACCCAATAACCTTTGATTTTCCTAGTAAATCTAACTTTTTTAATACCTCAATTTGGGGAAAAAGTGATAGAAAGGAAAGTTAAAATTTTTTTTAATGAAAAGATTATTATATCCATATATTTATTAACACTAAAAATTTAGTCGCATCACAATCATCTTGTAATTTTTTCAAAACCATCTCATTTTTCAAGTAAGTTTCATATGTCTCTTTCAATATAAAGATTTTTTATAATATTTTGGTGATCTGATTTTGATGAATAGTTGCATATGACTAAACATATTTCTTAGGTTCATGAGATGTTAGACTACCTTACAATTTTTGGCTTTTATAGGGTAGGATATTATAGTTTGGGTTTGATTAGTCAACAAAAGATGGCAAAAAAATATACATACTTTTTGGTCAAAAAAATACATACTTTCTAGTAAAAAAGTACTATTTTGACTAGAGTTTGTTTTATGTATGAGACAACTCCAAAACATCATGAAAGGATAGATTGATATTTTTACTTTTAAGTAACCAAAGTGGCAGCATCATACTGATCAAACACCAACTGCTTACACCATTCTTTAATTTAAAAGGGTATATATTTTATTATATATGTGTGAGTGAAGACATGACATTCAACAAAAAGGTGTTTTCAACATTGTCCACCTCAATATGTGCACTTAAATTGTGTATTGGTAAATACATTCAATTGATGTATGATTTCTTCCTTTATTTTTTACGTTATTAGGCCATAGACCATAGATAACTTCTCGTTTGTGAAAACATCCTATTTCGCCATAGAAAGTTCCTTTTCTTGTATTTTCTATAGACAGATGCTAAAGACTAAATTATTCCTTCTATTTTACATCTTAATGTATTCCTTCTGATGATGATTTTATGTTAAATTATTCCTTTTATTTTACATTATAATTTATTGCTTCTAATGATGATTAAGCGAGCTTGATTTCTATGTCATTTTTCATAATGAATTTGTCTAAAAAATCGCTTTAGTTATATATGGTCCGAATTTCATGAATAATGCTGTCAAGATACTAGTTTCAAATTAGATATATTGCATTTTCCATATCCCTCCCTTTTGCTATCTTATACATATCAGTATGCTTTTCTCGCATAATTGGTAATATTAGTATTATAATAATTAATATATGTAACTAATTGATAAATATTAGTATTATTATTAATAATATGTATGATTTATTGTTAAATGCCTTCTGTGCTCAAAATTCTATAATTCTAATTTGCTTTAATATTATTTTCTTTCATAAAATGTTAGCATATTTATTTTTATGATAATAATAATTACTCTTAATATTTTGCTATATCGATGGATAAATAAAGAAATGAGACAATGATTGAGTATTTTTGGAGAGAATTTCATCAAAATGCAATTATCTACGTTATGTGTTTAGCTATTTATTGATATATAGGTAAAAAAAAGATCATAAAAAAAAAATTATTGATCATTGTATGAGTCTAGAAAAAGATCAAGTTAAAGATGAAATAAAATTGTTGGTAGTAAGAAAGGTAAAGATATTGTAAGAATGGGACCTAAAGCTTTTCTAGATTTATGTATTATACTTAAAAAATATGATGATTTAAAACCAATAAAATGAGTTATAGTAAAAGAATAAGTTATTAAAAGTCTTTATGTATTATCTCATCATGTAAAAAATAAAGAGATACAATTTTGGTTTAGATGTTCAGGAGAAATAACTAGCCACCATTTACATTGTGTTTTAAAAGCAATAATAGAGTTAAAGGAGAGATTCATTAAACAACCAAATGGATCACATATTCCAGCTAAGATACTTGAAAATAATAGATTCTACCCATATTTTAAGGTACGAAATTATTAGTTACTTTAATTTAATTAAAAGTTTATTTTATATTCAATAAGTATTAATATATAAAATCAATATCAAAATTTGTAGGAGTTATTGATGGAATACATATTGGAGTCAAGATATCAAAGACAAATGCTCCAAAACATCGTGGTAAAAAAGAGTACCCAACACAAAATATATTGGTAGCATGTTCATTTGATTTAAAATTCACTTATGTATTACCTGGATTGGAAAGTACTGTCTCTGACTCAAGAATTATAAAATATGCATTATAAAAAAAAACAGACTTATGATTCCAAAAGGTAATGAATATAATATATTATATTTAATTTAGTTACTTATGAGACCAAAATAGTGATATGATTACAATTTTGAATAGGCAAATGTTATCTTATTGATGTTGAATTTTTGTTGAGAAGTAGATTGATTGCACCGTATAAAAGAGTATGGTATCATTTAAAAGAGTATTCAAATAATTTACAAAAAAATTCCCAAGAATTATTCAATTTTAAGCACGCATAGTTGCGTAATACATTTGAAAGAGCATTCGGTGTTTTAAAAAAATGATTTCTTATTATAGCAAATGCAAATGCATTGATTTATAAAATTAGAACCCATAAAGTAATAGTTTAGCTTGATGTATTTTACATAATTACTTAATGACAATAGATCCTAATGATGCTCTTATTGATAAGGTTGATTATGAACCAAATACTTGGTCCATTAAACAAAAGTATCGTGCTCCTAGAAATGAAAATGAAGATACTGCTCGAAAAGAACAATTAAGAGATTCTATAACGAATGCTATATTGATAGATTATAGAAATTGAATGATTATTATTTGTGTATTTTCTTGAATTTATATTTGATTTATTGTCATTGAAAGAAATGTATTTCTTTAATTAAATAAGTGTATTTCATTTGAACAATTAAATACTTATTTCTCAATAATTATTTTTAATTGTTATTATAACTTTTTACATGTTTCTTTTTTTATTATGTAGATTTAACTATGCCAAGAAAGAAAAAAAGTGATTACAACTAATGAAAGTGACAAAGGGATAAATAAAGATGATATTTTGACATAGACACCAACAATAGATAATGCTCTTATTGATGCATTTTTTTAATCAACATAATATAAGGAATAGAGTAAATAGAACTTTTACTAAACATGTCTATGATAATATGGTCATTGAACTAAAAGAAAATTTTTTGAGAGACATAGAGACGAAAACAATGAAAAATCATTGGAAGACTATAAAAACAAATTTCTCAAAGTATTATGACTTGTTCAAGTAAAGATTGAGTGGATTTTCTTGAAATTTAGTCATTAAATTATAGGGTGTTGAACTTGAAGTTTGGCAGAGATCAATTGAGGTAAATTTTATTAAAATCAAATTTTAATTATTGTTTTATTAATTAGTTTACATTTTATTATTTATATTCTCACAATATAATATATATAAATTTTTAGACACATCTTCATGCCCAATAGTAGGTGACTAAACTCATTCCAAATTATGACAAGATAGTGATTCTTTATGGTAATGATCGACCCATTGAGGAACATATTGAGACTGTAGTAGAAATGAGATGAAGGAAGCAGTCTTCTAAAATTGATGATGAGATAAAAGGGAATATTGATGATATTGATAATTTAATTTCTCAGAATAAGGTAACATTGGAGAATCATGATATTTCGAGTGAATAGTGCATTGATCTTATGACATCCTTGGAGCTCGTTCTAAAAATTTATTCAAATTTTCGAGTAGTTTAATGAATAAAAAGCTAAAAAATAAAAAGATGACAAAAGCGATAAACTTATTCGAGAGGGGTTTGAAATGATGTTAATGCACTTTTATTATAGGGAATGTTATTTATGAAAAGCTCAACACTTATGTTGATCGAATTTCGAAAAGTGAAATATAGAATCTATTGAAGGAGATATGAGTTGACTCACAATGAATCACCACTGCTTACTTATATTTTATTAATAATCTTAAGAAAGTAAGGACAATACTTAGATCCCCATGGGATAAAAGAAAGAATGTCATTGAAAGGTTGGTGTTTGATTCATCTAGTCATTAAAGATGTCAAAAATATCTTTGCTACATAAGTTCTTAATTTGGTGAAATAAATTTTTTTCTTAGGATGGAAATATTTATATTTTATTTTGGTAAATAAATTTATGTTGGACAACTATTCGGTGATATATTATTCTTTTTTGTCTAGTGCAAAAGGGCATTTAATTAGCTAATATGTAATGTTTTTTATGTGATTGTATTTTTTTATTTAATAGCTTTTATATGAATATATCACCAAAGTGATAGTGTGTTGAAATTTTGACAACAGCTAAAAATTCATCGATGCATGTTAGTAAAATATTTTTTTATTTTACTTGATAAAAAATCACTAATATAACAACAGTTGTGAGGTCAGATAGGATAGTAAATATATCATAATCTAACAGTACTTTAAAATTATTATTGTTAAAGGATTTTTTTTCTTTATTAATTTTAACTATGTAAATAAACATTATATGTATTCCTTTTAAAATTTTTTTCTATTAAAAATTTTTTTTTATTAATATTTATCCAAACATATGATTAAAAAATTAATAGATACAATAAATGTACCTTAATTGCCTTGGTGGACCCTAACCTACCCATTTCCACATCCGGATTTATTTACAGGTTTTTTTTTTTTTTCATTTTTAATAAAAAAAAAATCGAATATTTTTACGGTTGCACAGGAGAAAGCGCGAGCTCTCTCAATCTGCAACGACCAAATCTTCACATATTTTGCTGGTAAACGTTAATTATTGTTCCTTTTTTTTTTTTTCATTTACTCTTTCCTTACAATCATTTTGATTTTGTTGCCTTTTTGTTGTCAAATACTGTTTCAAGATGGTTCTTTTTCTGATTCATGCGTGATAGTTTTTAATCTCTTTTTTTTTTTTTTTTTTTCAAATTTCATAGATTTCGAGTTGTTTTGCATGTATATTTTTCTATTTGTAGCTAAAAACCCATGGCTCTAGGTGCCTCCAGATCCAATAAAACGTTGACTTTTCAAGTTGGTTTTAATTTTAAGTCTAAATTGCAATTCCTTTGATCTGCTTTTCTAATTTTACCTTCTTTCCGATAGCTTGTATATCTAATATGTGCTTTTATTAAATCCTCATATTTTTGTTATAAAAATGAGAAGAAACCCCAACTTTTATTGGTGTTAAGTTTGCATTTACAATTTGATTCTAAGTGAAACTGAAAATGCTGTCATAGGTTTTTACTTATCCCTGATGTGAATGTGTTTAAAGAAAAAAATTTTTTTTTGTTATTTCTGTTTTGTTCGTCGAACTCCTGATTAAGGGATTGTGCTGAGTCTTGTGTATGGAATGTTTCCAAGTTGAGTAGTCTGAAGATTGATAGAAACCTTTTGTTATTCAGAAAATGGGCTTGTTGACGATATTGGAAGGCTTTTTGCTTCTTGCAAATGCATTGGCAATATTAAATGAGGATCGCTTTCTCGCACCCAGAGGATGGAGTTTCTCGGAATTCTCTGCAGGGCGGGCAAAGTCATTTAAAGGGCAGCTTATTGGTCTCATTTATGCGACACAATACATGAGAGTTCCTCTCATATTACTCAATGCAATCTGCATTGTTATAAAGTTAGTTTCTGGTTGATGCTATTCTAGGTGAGATGTTTATGTCTGTGACTGATGATTCCATGAATTTTCTATTAGGTTCTCAACCCAAGGCCCCCTTTGTTTTTTTGTATCGGAGGACATGCTTATTACTTGGTGATACATAGGGGTGGGGTTAGGCATCCCTTGTTTGTAGGTTTTGTTTACTGATTTCCATAAATCGACATGGATTTAAAATAGTGCCATCATTAGATGAGTGTCAAAACATAAGCACTCTGATCGTAGTTATTTCTAAAGTTGGAGAAGCTATTAATTTGTTGACTGTATGGTGAAAAAAGAAACTCTTGGATTAATTTGTTAGTTAGTGTTGTTGAAATATACACCAGATACTTGGAAGTAAGTGACCAATGCTTTCAAAAGTTTCTCTTAAGCATAACCGGAGTCGAAATAAAATCCTTTAATACTGCAAGTTCTATCATGTATTACATGATCCAAATGTTGAATAGGACAGAGCAGGAAGGGCAGAATTGGCCTTTCAAAACTTTTTCCAAATGTGATAAACATCAATTCCTTTTAGTAAAACATTTAAATTAACTGGTGGATTGAATTGGCTGCCCATCATAGATAGAAGCAGCTTTATTCCTTCATGCTAAAGAATATAGGCAAATGGAAAGTAAAAGGGGGGGGGGGGGGGGGGGAGAACACTTATCATTCAAGAGATAAAACTGAACCCAGAATGCCAACTATGTGCAATAGAGATGTTATTCTTGTTAAATAGGTGATCAGCAAACACATGATACTCTTTTGAATCGACTGCTATGAGCCTTAACGCTGCAACTGTTGCTGCAATAGACATGAGACCAAAGAAAGCAACATTGAGCCAATGCCAGAACTGTTGTAAGGAACTCAGTTTGTTCTTCTTTGACACAAGGTACATGTGGTTTGCAAGGATAAAGGTTAGATGGAATGTGCTCAATACCCCTGTATGGCTCTCAAAATCTCCAAGTAATGGGAGAAGAGCTGACAACAGTGTACTGATAGCAAGGTAGTCGCCTCTTGCTAAAATTCTGAAGGATTAGTTATTAAATTTCAAGGCACTTCCTCTAATTCCAAACTTTGTGTCTAAATACTCGTAAGTTGGACTCGCAAATATCTACAGCAGCGGAGGAAGGTAATCAGGTTTGTGGAGAATTGCCAAAATGGTTACTAATATTATTGAAAAGCAGGAGTTACAAAAAAGTATATTTACATGCAAAGCAATGATTGGTTGCAGGGAGGCAGAAATGTTAGCTGCTGCCTTCACCCAAACTGGTCCGCTTACACTATTAAGCAAATATGTTGATGTTGAAGTCCCATAAGCCCAGTGCCAATATAGGTAACAGCATACATTGGTACAACTCCCACAGGGAACTGAAAGTACAAAGCTTTCAGCATGTTCTTCACAGCAGGCTGCCTAACCGTTGCCTGTTATGAGAACAATATTCCAGAAGCACATACATAATTAAATACAGAAAGATAGTAACCTGAACACTGAAAGAGATAAAAGAAGGGGGGAAAAGGAAGGAATGCAACATGGCCACGAATTCAACCTATGTCTTAGGATTTACATTTAACAAGTAAGATTTAAATCTAGTTACCACCCTAACCCTACGTATCTTTCCACTAGTTTCAACAGATATACTCAAGATTGAAATACAACCACATGGATCGGTATGGCTGAGCTGACTGACTTCCACAAGGACAAAAAATTTAGACAATGCTTGAAGCAAATTTGAAGTGTCGTATATAGAACTGATGTATGCACTCAGAACATTGTTCTTCTCATCATTGGCACAAGCTTTACATGCAAAGATCTAAACTTTCTTCCGAAGTAAAAAAGGGATAAAAGAAGAAGGTTTGCCTCTGAAACTATTTCATAGTGCTAAGGAAGAAGTTTCAGGGTTCTATGACTGTGCATTGGAAGGCATAACTTTTACTCATTAGCATAATCTGGCCCACCTGTATTTCTGGAAGCATTCCAGTATTGAATGCAAACACAAGATTTGCAGATGCTCCTATGGTTGTAAAAATTCGGCTGGTTGATGTCCCATATACGCTATAATCTCTGGATGGTGCATTCATTCCTATAACAGCATGGGAATCGTTATTGCCATATAAATGCAGCAAAAACCATAAATTTGCATCAGCAATATTAGAAAAACAAAATGAGTACGTCAGGCTTCCAAATTAAACTAAACTGCAACTAAATGATATTAACATGAGCCACTCATAAAAATAGGTTATCCTTGACTCAAGTTTTCTACCCTACGCCTCAATATGCAGCAAATTTATTTCAAGGCCAGCTTCAAATGTATAAGGAAATCTCAAATCAAAACTAGTTATGCTCCTTTCAATGCCTAGCATGTCCCCCACGGTAAAGTAACAACCTTATGGAACCAGATGACTGCTAGAGCAAATTTCCCTCACTGTTGCAGGAGCTAAGCAATGGCCAACTTGATAGACGACAGGCAAAGATCTAGCCAGTTTCATGTTTATATACAAAGGAAGCTCAAAAGTTTTTTAAGGTTCAAATTCAGTAACATCAATCCAGGTTTTAATTTACTTGAAAGCATGATTTGACTGCACCATAAATTAAAGCTATAAAGTGATTGATGTCAAGGTAATGATTTCTAGTTTTAAAGTAGAAGACCTCCATCCAAATCTTACATTTTTATATTTATTTTGTCCAAAAGTTTGTGAGACAGGATAACAACAAACACACTAATGCCTAACTCATCAATCAAGACAATATTCCAAATACCAGCTAGTGAAACATTGGACATAGTGGTTCCCACAGGATTACACTGACCAAAATAGACCAAAAGGACAGTATGCTTTTACCCTCTTGGAAAGCCCTCATTTTTAATGAATCACATAAAGCTGGCTCACTTCCGCACTGGTTTGGACGCCGGAAACCCACCCAAACATTGTGCCAGAAATCAATGGAGTCTTGAATTTGTACAAGTGTATTCCACACAAGAGAACCAAATCTTCAAAAGGCGTTAATATTTTGTTTACTTTTGTAAGGAAGCTTGCTCAGTGAATAGGGTCATAGTATGTTGAGGCACATTCTTTAAAGTAAATATAGATGGAGATAAATGAAGAATTGAGAAGGAAAATTATAAATAACTGATTTATCAAGGATTCTATCTGCAATTTTCATCTACACTTCACTCACCAGCTCAGAGTATTAAATGAAATTTCCATGTGGTAAATATAAACCACAACAGTATGAATTTCAAATATTAGAACTTACCACCTTTAGCTGCCAGCACACATGCCACAACGATATATATCAGGCTGAGAACTGTTGAACATCCTAACCAAATTCTTAGAGATGACAGATGGGGTGTTGCTATGGCAAACAAGGTACACACTCCAGATATGGCAATAAAGTGCGGAAGCTTCATGGTATGGTCATCCCTAAAAGGAACATAACAAGCCTGCAATGCATATCCACATGTTAAAGATTTCGGAAGAAACTTCAAGCAATTTTAACTATGATATCTATGAACAGAGTTCTAATTTAGTGAATAACCACAGAAAAGGTAGGAATTATCAGAATAGCAGACTATCAAGTCCTCTTTCAGATATTTTGGAACCTTTTGTAGACGTGACTAGGAAAATAATCTTACTTAATCATTCTGGTGCCTTTAAAGCAGAACCACTTAAAATGAGATATCCAACGTTAATCATGAACAAATTGACATATTGCAATGCCCATGTAATAGAATAAGCACTCCTACCTGTTGAAAAAAAAATGCCCATCAAGCAACAAATGAAATAAATAATTACAACATTAAGATTCATACTAAATGAGATTCTACAACTTTTTTTTTACATATGCTCAAACCATATATGTGTGCTGCAAGATCTCTGTATCCGATATGCCTCCTTCCCCCAAATTCATGGAGCTTGGCAACAAGCATATTTGGGTATAATGATATCGCGGTGGCTAAAATTAGACCGACTACACCTCCTATCCAGCCAAGAGGGACCATGATGGTCCCAGAATATCCCAAGACAAATACACTGTTAATGCCAGTGGTCAAGACAAAACCTGCCTGGAACCATGAATCTGAAAACTCACCAAAAAGTTCAAACGAGCTCAAAAGCAAAACGGAACATCATCAGCCCAAAATTCACCCAAGATCAAGGATTAAAGAGATTTAGTTCCTATTTATTTCACTATTATGGAATATGGATCCACAATTGGGCAAACCACAATCGGATAACTATTAAAAGAAAATATTCTCTACTCATTTTGCTACATCTCACCAAAAAAAAAAAAAAAATCAATGAGCCAATCAAAAACTTAGTTTTAAGTAGCCAATTACATAATATAAAAATATATATTTTAAAAGAGACTATTGGAGTATTGGTCATATCATAAGTCTACTTTAAACTCAGAATTTTCTTTTACCACAACAGAGCCCCAAACAGAAAAGAAAAAGAAACTACTATGACTATAAAATACCACAAACAAACAGGCATCAAATACAACAATAAGCGATAGAACAAGAAAAAAGTTCAACTGCAAAATATGCAACAAAAGACCCTAAAGAAAAACCATCATCACAATGAAAATCCCACAAAGAAAAAATTTTGTGGAATCAAAATAACAAATAAAAGCAACAGGAAACCCAAAAAGAAACTACTTTCGCAATGCAGATAATAAGAAAAACAAAATCCCAGAACTCAAACTAAACAATCTTTCACAATATAGTGTTGCAGCATTAAAATCTAAAAATAAAAAATAAAAAAGGAGACAAAAGAAAAACCCAGAACTAGATAAAAAAAAGAACAATCTTTCACAATAAATGGCTAAAAAGAACATACCAGCGCTAATTTGATGGGCGGTTTCAGGGACATCAATAGTTAACTTATCATCCGCCACCTCATTTCTGTTATCTGCTACCACGTTTGCCTGCCCCTTTCCTTCCTCTCCCAGAAGGTAGTCTCTTTCCACTTCTTGGTGGTCTTCTTCAAAAATATTTATAAAAGCCAGGGTGTTTTGTTGGGATTCCGAACTCTTCTCTCTGGATGACTTTCCTCTTGAATTCAAGCCAGAATTTACCAAAGCTAACAAAGAACCTAGTTTCCAGTTATAGAAAATCTAAGTTCTTTTCAAAGAATCAAATCGACGCTCCTTGTGTGGCGCGTGTCATAAATGTCCAAGCAACTGCTCCCTCAGTCCCTCTGTTCTTCAGTTTTTCTTCGAGCACACGTTTCCATATATATGAAAAGATAGTTGCAGCTCCATTTTCTTGGATCTTTTAAAAAAATTTAAAACCAAAATAACAATAAATTCCATATTTAATTGCGTTTTTAGTTTTCAACTATCCCTTATATTCTTTTATCTTGTGTGGTCAAGACTATCTAAAATCATGACTTTTTACATTATTTTCTGGATATTTGGTTCGCAAGATTTTGATCAGTGATAATGTTAATGATCAGGCG